TGCACAGGGTGTGCGGGAGGGACAGCCATCACAGCAGCGTGGGACGTCTCAGGGAGGCTGGAGCTGGGGCTGCACACAGCAGGCTGCAGCCCAGTGACGGGGGCACGGCTCTGTCCTGGCGCCTCGGTGAGGAGACACTTTATAGCACCTGTGCCCAGGTTCAGCTCCACATGGTGCAGAGAGGCGGCGATGCCGTGTTTGTGCAGTGCACCAGAGAACAGGGAGGGAGGGGAAGGAGGCTCTGAGAGCACAGCGAGACACCCCCCTTCAGCCACACAGCCCGTGAGCAGCAGCTCCTGCGCCACAGCCAGCACCAGGCAATAGCTGCACGGGTTACAGGAAGAAAACACGACCACACAACGCTGTGAGTTACAGCTCCCAGTCACCGTGATCTGATCTGACACTGAGTGTTCTAGGTTACAGTGTGCTGGTGTGATGGGACGTGCAGTGACCTTTGTAATTAGGAACAGCACCCATCCCCCTTCTGTCACTAATGACCCTGACCATGTCCCTGCAAGTTAAGATACACAGGCATCTTCTTCCTTTCAAGGGAAATAAGGAGTAACAGTTTTGCCAAGCTCTACAAGAAGACATAGTATCTTTGTAATATTATTTTACGGTTAAAAAAAATCCCAGGGCTGAATCACATCAAGGTAAGCGTGATAAGTACTGTTTATCTGCTTCTAATTTCTGTGATTTAGAGTTCACTCATTCTTATCAAATGGTCTGGAGCACCAAATAGGTGAGTTTATACTGCTCTGCTATTTATCACTGCAGCACTTTACTAGTGGAAATGGAAGGAGACAAAGTCACATTGATTTACCCATCAGAACATCAAGCTTTTTGAAGCTGCTGAATCCCAACATTGTCAGGAATGTATTTATTTCCAGTCAGGTGTATTTACGATTAGCAAAGACACCACTGGAGAGAAACTTACAACACAGCACCACAAGCTGCTGTTTAAAATACCATGAGGGCAACCTTCTACAAGTGATATCATCCCTCAAGACAGATGACTGCATTTCAGAAGTCTCGATGCCCCGATATGGCAAATTATCCCTATATGGCAAAGCATTTAAGCGCCTTCTATAATTTAGGCACACAGAAATCTAACAAAGGGGGAACCGCACGCAGATCGTGCTACGCTCTGCATGGAGCCTGTGGCTTGTCTCCCAGCAGAGTCACGGGGGGCTGGGGAGTCAGTATTGAATAACAAAGTGCTACCACCTAAATCTGATTCTGCCTTAAAAGGATAGGAAAGATCCCAGCCACTACGAAGCCAGAAGTGCCTGGGTGAGTGAAGAGGAGGAGAAACTTCTTAAACTGAAGCTGTGTTTGACTCTGAAAGGAAAAATCCCCATTCACCATCAACCGGGGAGCAATATTGCATATAAAAGGGTTGGTAAATCAGTTGGGAGATGAATCTTTAACCATTTAAAATGTTTTCCCTTCCTCCCATCTTTCTCTGGTTTTGTCTAACAGGTGTTTAAAAGTCATTTGCAATGACTGCTATGGAGTAGTGCTGAAGAGAAGGGGGATGTGCTCTGCATCTCCCAAGCCACCATTGGCCACATGGGAACAGTAACATGGGAATAAGAGCTCTGGTAATGCCTTCAAGCCTCCACTAACGGAAAAAAAAAATAACAGTATCCTGATATTATGTGGTACAGCCCCAAAAGAAGAGGACTTCTGCAGTTCTCTAATTATGAAGAACAGCTTATACAGAAATAAAGTATAGGAGAAAAGTCTTAAGGATGACCGAGATGTCTGTTCAATGAGCCATCCAACTTCCTCATTACACAGGATATGCAGCGAGGATTTTCAGGGCTGCACTGGACACAATTCAGTAGAAAATGGTTCTCAACACCCTGAAGCAGCGAACGAACCAGCCGTGAAAAAAACCTGCCTGGCTTTAAGAATTTAAAAACCGATGACAGATGCAACAGATTTTTAATTTGTCTGCCACCCTGTAATAAATGAAACACCCAATCCAAACAACAGGAGGCTAAATACCAGGCAGCTGCCCACATCCGTGCGTCCTGTGGAGTAAACTCAGAAAATGCCTCCTACATGTCTCTACGCTTGTGCAATGTAATTTATTACAATTAGTGAGTGTGACCAAGTTTGCTGTTTAGGAACACTTCTGGGTATGAGGTTACTGTTAAGATGTCAGAGCCAAAAAAGTTTTTTGTTTTGCAGCTCATTGCTAGTGATTATGTAGAGAAGTTATTTTTCATCAGGTGCAAAAAGGCTGACCTTGCAGTGTGGCAAATAAAAGCACAAGCATGTTGAGGCAAACCCTCTGTTTGAGATTAGACAGACATAGGCCTTTCCACCTACAGAATATGTATGGTACACAGGCACATGCAAACTGAAAGCAAAACAAAACATGCTGTTGAAACTGCAACTAATAAAAGTAGCGCAAACTTCAGAAATGCAAGTGTTCATTTTCTGACTCTAAAGTTCCCTTCTTGCTTGCATACGGAAGTTAACCTCACAAAATCACTCCTTTCTTAGGGAATCTAGGGTTCTAGACTAGGCTGGAAAAAAAAAAACAAACAAACAACAACAACGAAAAGCAACTGTTACCAGGAAACTCGGCTTTCACATTTCCTGACTGTGCTTGGTATTGGTTGCACAGGTAATGCTAAACCTATGGCTGTGTCTTTATCTAGACACCCATGCTAACATTTTTTCACCATATAGCCTGATTCTGAGAGGTCTGGAGTACCTACTGAGCTTGATAAAAGCTGCAACAGGAGCAGCACTAAGAATTACTGAAACCCTAGCCTTCAATAGAGGACTTGCTGCTAGTGTCCTCTGAACAGGACCCGCCCCACTACGCATGGAAAAACTGGCTTTAACATGTTGCAGTTGTTGAGGATCTCTCTCCTCTGGGCACAGATGCTGCCTCCTTACCGGTCAGTCAGATGTTTTTAGGAAGCCGTGAGGGTCGCTGTCAAGAGAGGCCTGACCGACGCCTCCACTGCAGAGCCGGCGGTGGGGCTGCAGGACAGGGATCCAGCTCTGCACCCTGCGGCTGCGCGAGGACCAGGGCACCCCACGTCTCCCAGCTACTGCTCTGGGCTCTCTGGACACTCCCCCATCTCCTGCCCTCTGGACAAGCTTTCCTACAGAACCAGGGAGATCACAAGTACGTTCTTCCACAAGCAGAAAGCCACGTGGCTCCTGCAGCTCGGGTCTGAGCTGCAAGACCAGGATTTCTTGGCAGGTTCCCTTTACAGGTGGCAGTAGACATGCATGCACCCACAGAAGAAAAGCCGTCAAAAACTTACCACAATGAGTGCAACAACAGACAGTGTATAGTAGATTGAATCTCTCAAGAGACTCCACGACGACAGTGCAACGACCTGGGGAAAGAGGCAAAGAGAGGATGTCAGCTGGGCTCCTGCCAGCACGACGGCCACGCTAACAGTGCGTGCAGAAGTCGGTCCCAACATTCTGTGTAAGCTGTCCCCACACGTGCCAGGACACAGCGAGGACACCCAAGCCAGGACACGCACTGGCCTTCTGCGGCTACTCGAGGAACAGCCAATGGCCAGATCTGAGGAATAAAAGGTACAGGGTCATGGGCAGCAGGCGACTTCTATGCAAAGCCGCAGATGTTCTAAATCACACCAGTGCTGTCAAAGGGGAATCCCAAGGATGTATGGATGACAGAAAAGCTTCCCACGAGCTCAGCAGGCTACCCGATATCCTCTTCCCTCTGAAGTCCCCCTGTAGAGCCCCCCGTCCCTGCAGGCTGGGCTGTCCCCAGGGTCTGGCTGTGTGCTGCAGGGGGGGCGGCTGGACCACGGGCAGGTGCGGGGCAGCTGCTGCAGAGGTGGCTGCGAGCGCTGCGGCCGTCGGGGCTCGGCTTTACCAGCAGGACCCTTCTGTGCCAGCGCCGATGCTCAGCAATGAGTGTCTTGATGGAGAACGGCTGCAGGAGATGAACAGCCCTGCCGGGTCTCTGGGACAGGACGTGACCCCTCCTTCCATCCACCCTGTGGTTTGCATCTGTTTCTCATATTAATTTTCCCCAATGTGGGACCCCTGCCTCCCTTTAGAGAGGAAACCAGCCTGAAACGCAGAGCAAGGTGCAAGGTGTGCAATGGTCCAGGACGCAGGGGAGCTCCCCAGACCCAGTCCCCAGCTGCTGCCTGGCAACGTGGGTCCTCCCCATCCTTGTCCTTCCACCATGTGCCTACATCCACCACAAGTCCAGCTGCTGGCATCTCATACTCTGGGTTTCCAGGAATTTTAGACTGCTGGATGATGAGCTTGTGCTTGCTCAAAACATCAACTTGACCCATGCTGACTCACACAGGGGAGGATAACTTGGGCAACAGAGGTCGCACCGCAAAGCAAGAGCCTGGCGGCACGGAGCAGCCAGGCCCACAGCACACTGCTAGCCTGAACCTTGGCAGAGTCACGGCTTCACCTGCCACACCGACGGGTATCACTACAGCTCCACGGGCATTTGCACAAGTTTGGGGAGAAATTCTCAAGTTAACACTCTAGCAAAGCGTTAAGAACAAAACCCAGGAATTTATATTCCACAGGGGATAAAATGGGATTGCTGTGCAGTTTGTTTCACTGGACACCTTCCAAAGACACGGAAATGAGGAGGAACCGTCAGTGCAGGCTGAGCAAGCCTACAAGTCACATCTTAGAAGAAAAAAAAATACCGGTCAATAAGTTAGCCTTTAACTTCATTAACAATATTCAAAAGGGCAGATTAAAAGCAGCCATGTGGTGGTAACATCTTCAGTACGATCATATTTTTTCCAGTCCTAGGAAGTCCCCTCCGTAGCAGCTTCTCCTCAGACCTTTATTTCCCACCTCTGGAGTACATTCCAGCCCCTGCGGGTCACATCCTTCACAGGTGCAAACCACAAGGAGGCAGATGGGAGATGGCTAATTTACACTGATTTGGATCTGGCCCCTGAGTGTACAAATGATTTTCTGACCACATCGTCCAGCCGAGCTTGTGCAGGAATTCAGTCAAAGAGTAACTTCAGTTTCATTTCTATGATATCTAACAGAAGGTTCTATTTCAGAATGCTAGCAAAAATAGTTTTTTTCAGTTCCCGGGTTCCTCTGCATATTAATTCTTACAGTATTGGAATTTTCCAGAACTGCTAGCAAAACAAATTCTGTGAAGATACTGATCATCATATTTAATCTCTGCAGGCTCTTGATACTATGGCTTTTTAAAGTGGATGCAATTTATGCCCCGTGTACAGTCTCTTTATGCAACCATTGACACATAAGAAACTCCCATCTAAAATAAAAAAGCAGGCCTTTAAAGTCCTTGAGTCAGATGAGATTTATACCAGCTGACAATACATTTCAATGCATGTAGGGATAGATGAGTGGAGATGCTTTATGATGGAAATTTCCCAATGTAGAAACCTGGAGTTGCATTCATAATTCTATTCAGAGAACCTTAATTAAATCTCACATCTTACAGACAGCGGGCCCCTCCATTTTGACTGAGCAATTTTCGCAAGGGAGTTTATAAAATAATTTGACATTATTCCACTCAGTTTTTATGATGCTGCTTAAGGTCCTACACACTTTTCTCAGCACGGATGCTGATGGGGATTTTATAGGTGTAAACTTAAGCTCTGCATAATAAAAGGTACATTTCTGAAGCAAATGGCAAACCCCATACGAACAGGCTTCTAGCAGCTGTCGCTGTTCTATCTGATCAACTCTGCTGGGTACAGGGGGTGTCACCGTGCAGCATAGTGTACCTGTGAAAGCCAGATGTCTCCGCTACTGTGGGTCAAGCTAGTACCTCTCCTGTTCTTTGATATTCTGCAATAACCCTGAAGGTAGTCTGCAATATTTTCCCAGGGAACTTTCCTCAGACACCCGGATGAGCGCATCCAGATGCAGATGCTGAAATGCAGGTGCCTGGCAGGGACCCAGTGCACAGGAGTCACAGACCAGGGTACTGCGTGAATCGCAGGGACTCTTGTGTTGATTTCGGATTGCACTGAAGGGAGTATGCTCGTGCCTGGGACTTGCATGGGTTACTCACATTTTGCAAACACCCCAGTAAGTCTCCCTGTTGCAGTAACTACAGGGCAATTAAATCTCAGCTCTCCTTTCACCCAAAGGGTGGTGGCACCCTTTCACCCAAAGGGTGGTGGCACACTGGAACTGGTTGCCCAGGGAGGTCGTGGATGCCCCATCCCTGGAGGCATTCAAGGCCAGGCTGGATGTGGCTCTGAGCAGCCTGGTTTAGTGATTGGCAGCCCTGCATATGGTGGGGGGGTTGAAACTAGATGATCACTATGGTCCTTTTCAACCCAGGCCATTCTATGATTCTATGATATGACTCTTAGTCATTTAACTGAAGCCTTTGAACCATTTGATCACTGGGAAGAACAATCTGATATAGGAAATAGCACCCAAGGTAACCACGCACCGACGGTAAAAGCAGCTAATTAGCACCGAGGTAAATGGCAGTACTTTCAGCCTGCTGACAAGAATCATGTACTCTCATTATAACTGTCAAGACCTTGAATGTCTAAGTTGTACCATATAGTCTTGCAGCAACCAAGGGCTCCACATAAATTTTAATGCACTGGAAACCACTTAAATTACAGTTTAGCAGACTAAGGCAGAAAGGAAATCAGGGAAGCAATCAGCTTGGGTAAAAACATGATCAAATTTGAGTTTTAAATGAGCAATACTGTAACCCGGCGGAAAGTTGGTCCTTTGGGAGCCGAGCGTGCAGAGGTGGCTGTCAAACCACTGACTGTCAGGTGGAACGCTTCCTCCCGTCAAAGGAAGTACCCGAAATTCGAACCCCAGACAAGTGACCATTAGCCCTCTCTGCCCTACAACCCTGGGGACTGGATCTGGCATCCCCAGAGCTGAAAGGAAGAGCTCTTCAGCCCAGGCTTAAATGAGAGCAACCCCGACAGCTCCAACAGACACAGACCCGCAGCGCAGGCTCACCTGCATGCCACAGCATCGTTATGTAAACGGGAAAACAACCCATATCAGATATTTGGTTTCTCATTGGTAAACTTCTGCCCCGCCAACTCTTATGTATAGCATTTACTACTCAGAATGCTTACTTGCCCCTTTCAAAGGGCTGGAGAGCAGAGAAATCAAGATTCCATCAGTTCCAGTTTGATTTCTGCAGCTCTTAACTTCTGCAGCAGCGTTCCCAGGCAGCACACACAGTCTTCTCCATCTAGCGCACATGGAGATAAGCCACCAGGGAGAAAATCACTGAAAATCAGACAATGGCACCTGCTGCTCTTGGCACCTCAGTCGGCTCTGGGCACCTGGGGCCTCAGTGGCAACACACGCCTTGACCCATCCTAGAGCTTCACCATTTACCATCTACAGAACGACCCTTCTCTCTTCTGCTCTTCCAAATTATTTCTCCCCCCTTCTTCGCTTGATGTTCTTGGGCAGAATGATCAGCTACAAACCCTGCCTGGAAATGCTGGGCTTTGGAAGCAATCTTCCTAATCTTGTTTCTCTGCCACCCTCTGGCACAGAAGGTCTAGCTTTTCGGGTATTAAGCGCTAATAACTTAATTTGTTAATGTGCAGAGGAATGCTTGGGCGAGGGTATCAAAAGATTAAAGACAATCCCTCCGGCAATTAGCCTTAAGACTCTACGGAGATCAACAGAGGCGTGCAATGGTGAATCCACCGCTCAGCGCCTCTCCGCTGGCGCACCCCCTTCCCGGCTGACATGCACACGGCGGCTCTGACTCGGGTGTCATTGGGTTCACTGGTGTTAGATCTTGACAGAGAGACTGCTGTTCAGCAGAATGCGCCTTTGGGCAAAGATGAGCGTTTCCCATAAGTTTTAAAGGGAAGTGGTGGAATGTCTGCAATTCATCAGGCACAGTTTTAATACATGCCCCTCTTTGACGTGGACTGCATGGAAGCAATTGGGGAAGCTGCTACACCGCCATAGCAGAGACTGGGATCTGGTTTTTGAATGCTCGCCTGTGCTGACCGACACAACTCTTGCAACACCCTGCAGGCACCCTGAAACCTCACAGCCTGCCGGCAGCGTGCTGCATCCGCCTCTTCCATCAGCAGCAGCCAGACGCAGCGGGAACCTCCTCGCACGCTGCTCCTGGTTTGCAGGAGCTGCACTTGGAGCTGGGGGTGGCTCTGAAAGCCTGGCCGGGTCCCCTCCAGAAGGTGTTGCTCTCCTGACTCCAGCGTTCAGAAAATCCTTGACACAACTCCACATCAGCCCTGCGATAATGCAATGGGACCTCATGTCAAAGTCGGATAAACGAACGGCTCACTGTTGGCCAATGTTACAGACAGTGCGGGGAAACCAGACTGGCCGTAGTTTGTAGTTAATACATGTCTTA